TCAGTTGAAAACCTTTTTTATTGCATCTTAGTTTCTGTTTTGTGAGTTGATCTGTGTAGTCTTTTATAGTGCTACAAATGCAAAGTCTGTTAACTTAGTCTACACGGTTGCAGTCTGAATGTTATGTGAAGTTTCTCAATAGTAGGCTAGATTGCTACTTTATCTAAATCTGCATTGGGTTGCAATCTAATATTTTACAGAAAATAAGTCGTAAGTTTAGTTGCCACATTCTACTTCGGTTGTTCCCAATTATGCCATTCCTTTTAATATCTTTATTTGTGCAAGTGTTCAGTTTATATTGATGTCATTTGTTATTTGACACATTAATGATGCTTTTGTTCTTTTGTAGTATAATCTCCCAAACAATAAGTTAAATGAGACATCAGAAATATGAGCAGATAATCACATGTGTGTCATGCTTTTAGAAAGAGTATATTTGTGTGAATTCCACAGTAAAGAAGGTATTTTATTAGGGAAAATGTTTGTAATTTCTGTGATGGGACTATAGATAGGAGAGATTGCAGTGACTACTTCTTTATATTACCATTACTGCTCTCATACACAAGGTAATTGCCCTTCTTAGATATGATGGAATTCCTGTATTTGCTGTTCCTCTGATGCAGTTTAGACTTAAAAAAACAAACAAAACCTGCAATAGTTTAAGCAGCTCTACAGGGAGATATGGATTTTTATCTGATTTAGTTGATTTTTGCAGAATCAAGTTCATGCCACTATACACACACATGTGCTTGAAACTTGAGAGATGGATGCCTTCATAGAGGTGATAAGGAGTTGGGGGTAGGGTGGACCCTGCATTCTTAGCTTTGCTTGGAACAGCACGTTTTCCCACCACCGAACTTAGTAAGCCTTTTACAGAAGCCTAAAACAGACATTTCTGGTAGCTTCTAAATGTGGTACTTTAGTTACCAGGAGCAGGCTAGTGGAACGTGATCTCTTTTATTGCGTATGTATCCAATTTCGTTGATTCACAGGAGAGCTCTTAAGCACAGTTTAAAGTGCACCTCAGCTACTATAGATCATTGTACGTATACCTTTTAGATAGAAATTCAATCGTTTGAATATTTATATTTCCTGACAGGTGACTCTCTCCTTTTTTTGACCATTGTAAACTTGGAAAACCAAAATAATGTTTACATGAAAAAACTCCTGATTCACTCTATTTCCTACAATAAAGTGAACATTACTAATCTGGTAAACAGTAATACAACAGAACGTTTGCATGATTTTCTTTGAGTTTATTAAGCAAGTTATTATGCAAGTACAATTTCCATTTGTTTGAAGTTATGAGCAGCAATCACTATCTCTTAAATATGCTTTTAATTGTATAGTGGTGAAATCAGAGCATATAGTAGTTAATACGTTAATCTGTCTTTAAGGGGAATTTCCCACTATCACATTGAAAAATGTTAATGTGCAGCTTTGAACTTTGTATTTTTTTCCTACCTTCTGCTAGTGTTGAGCTATGTAAAGAAATGGTGGATGGGCTGCGAATAACCTTTGACTTCACACTCCCATTGATTTTGCTCTATCCATATGAACAAGCCCAATTTAAGAAGTTGACTTCATCAAAATTCTTTCTTCCGATCAAAGAAAATTCAACAAACAGTAACAGGTAGGTTGATTGTAATGAATCTAATACCACTTATCTCATGTGGAAAATGCAATGATTGTATATTTAGAATAGGAAAATTTAGAACTGGAATTCTGAATTCAAGCAAGCAGTTCACAGAAACATTCAGCGTTTTATAAACGTTTCCTTTATCTGGTTAACTCACAAATTTGAAGGTACTCAGTGGCATGGAGTTACCTTGTAACTTTATGAAAAGAGTTGAAATGTAAATTGATGCCATTAACTTTTAAATTTGAAAGTAAGTAAATGTCTATGCTTGAGGAAAACAGCATTTAAAAGAAGGGTCTCATCAAATTTTCCACTCCTTGGGAGGAGACTATCTAATTTGAACAAGTATTTAACAAGATCTGTGAAACTAGAAAGATCTGTTTTGGGGAAGAACCCTAAACTTCTTGCTTTTGTAAAATTGACTTGATTTCTTAGAAATCAGGAGGAACTTTCCCCAAGTCCTCCTCTACTGAATCCACCAACACCTCAGTCAACAGACAGCCAGCCTACGACAGGGGAGCCAGCCACACCAAAAAGACGAAAAGCTGAACCTGAAATTCTACAATCACTGAGACGTTCTACGCGCCATACCTCTAACTGCGACAGGTTATCAGAAAGTAGTGCTTCTCCGCAACCTAAACGGCGGCATCTTGAGACTCCAGCTTCTATGCCAAAGCTCTTCTTGCACCTGGAAAAAAGTGAGTTTTTATATTAAAATTGTTGCTGTAAACAACATGCTAAGTCCTTGTGCATATATATGTGTGTGTGTGTGTGTATGTTTTTAAAACCTGTGTGGACTGTGAACTGAATGGTTGAAGTGGGCACTCCTTACTTTATGTCAGCTATTTATCTCTGGAGTTTTACACCCAAGGAAGAAATACAGTTTTCTCAGCAGTTCTCAGTAATTCTCAACAGAAGGCAAGGAGCTGCTTTTCTGTGAGGCTACTTTTGGATAGTGGTTTTTTTTTTTTTTTTGATGTCTGTGTTTAAATGTTTTAGCAGCAGGCCTTGGTTATGCTTAATGATTTATAGTCACATAGAGTGGATTCTTGAAGAATGTGTGTCTGATGTCTTCTGTTTTATTTTTGCTTCCCTTTTAAGAAACCCCTGTCCATAGTGGATCATCTTCACCTATCACTTTGACCCCTAGCAAAGAGGGGAGTGCGGTTTTTACTGGCTTTGAAGGTAGAAGAAACAATGAATTGAATGAGGTAACAGCTTTTTATGTTACTGTCCTAGACCTCAGAGTAGGGCTATGTAAGAAAAGATATTACTTACATTAGTTCATATGCTTAGTGGTTAATTAAGCTCTGATTCTGAAGTTCTGTGCAGACCAAGTTACTCATGATGCTGTAATGATTTCATAGCTAGACTTTTCATGTTTTGTATCCAGGTTTTGTCCTGGAAACTAATGCCAGAGAATTATCCACCGAGTGATCAGCCGCCACCTCCTTCATATATCTATGGCTCTCAACATTTGCTACGGATGTTTGGTAAACAGATGCAAAACCCTGTGGTGAATCAAAATTGTTTTAATTGTTCTAATTTCTTTTCAATGAAAGTGTCTGTTTCTGTGATTTTCTACTTGTGCTTTTTTGCATTTAGTTTTATTTTTGAATAAAGGTACACTTAATCTGTTTAAAACTCTTAGAATGCTGTTCACAAATTCAACTTTTAATGGCTCTGTAAGCCCTCATTGTAAAAACAAGCCTTGCTTCCAATACACTATCAAACGTCAATAAACTGAACAGCGTTAACTTTTTCAGCATTAGCTTTCTTAGCATGTTTCTTATGGGCGGTAAGGTTTTGAACCATCACTAACTGACAAAGAATAGTGGAGGCTGCAGTGAAATTTATGTACTCTTTTCTGTTTAGTGGATTAAAGTAACTAGAAGGTGCTTTTAAAAGAACAGGCATAAACACTTTTATTTTTCTTTTTTACAGTAAAGTTACCAGAAATATTGGGGAAGATGTGCTTTCCTGACAAAAACCTAAAGGCCTTAGTAAAACACTTCGAAATGTTTCTGAGGTAATCTGACACGATCTTCCACAGCTGTGATTGCGTTGTTACATAGATCCATGTTCTGGAACAACATGAGATTTTTTTAATAAGATACTCATTTTATATAACTGCAAGGGTATGAAAAAGCTAATATGATGAAATATTAAGAATAAGCTGCTTCTATAATTCAAACTGAAAGGAAGCCGAACTCTGTACTTAAAGCTTGTTAGATGCAGAGCGATACAGAACTGAAGTATAAAAGCTTATTATCTAGTATGGGTTAGAATTACATGTCTGACTTGGCCAAGAAGCATATTTTATGGAAGTTTAAACTGCACTGTTATTTTTGAGAGCATAATCTGAGGGTATTGATGTCGCACAGACAGTGGAAGGAAAAGCTTGGGTTTTTTTAGAACCTTTTGTTAATGGTGTTAGTTGTATAAAGAAAAATCATAAATTGTCTTAGTTGAGCTTTAAACCAAAGGGCTACTCTGTCACACAATGTAGTGACTTGTAGAGACACCCAAACTGTTTTTTACTGTACTAGCTCTACAGTTGGAAGCAGTACAGTCATATTTGCACCAGCATCAGCTTTTATTTTCCAGGTACTCTGGCTTAGTGTCTCTGCGTGACGCTGCAGTGCTAGTTCAAATAATGAGCATGGCATTGTATAGTGTAGTGTCAGCATGGCCAAAAAAAATAAGTTTGCCTAGGAAAGCTTTTAGGAAAGCAGTGTTGTAAATGGTACGCATCTGGAACAAATGTGCAACTTCTGTTAGGTTTTGGTCAAATGAAAGTAGTAACATACTGAAAAAATAATATGGCACTATCCCATCAAAAGTCCTGTTAAAAATCAGAGATGGATGAAAGCTTTAAACTGCTTTAACAGCTTACTGAAAATACGAAGCCTCAAATGTTTAAGGTTTCTACAGAGCAAAAATTTCCTCTTGAAACATTTAATTTTTGTTTTACTCATTAATGTTTTTTGTTTCTGCTTTGTCAGACTGTTAATATTCAAAATGTCCTTGTCAAGTTAAAGGTGACAGCATTAGCACTTACTCTTGGAAACTAGAAACTGGTTATTTTTGCTTGGAGTGAGTATTATTTAGGATGCTTAAGTCACTGTGGATCAGTCAGTTATTTATCAGACTTCTCTTGCCCTTTCGGATTCTTTTGTGTTGGTCAGAGCATGTCTTAACTCCTTACTGCCTTAAATGCAGTTCCTGTATACCCTGTTTTGGATGGGTTGAGGTTGAGAGGAATAGAGAGGAGAAAGAAACATGGCTTCTTTTCCCTGCTCACCTCCCCCCGTACAAGTAGGGAAACGATCAAACTTATAAAAAAGTTCTTACTGATAGTATCCATATTGGTCATATGCTTTCATGAGACTATCTTGTTGAAATGCGCATTTATCTATAAATGGAAATCAAAAATCAGTGAATGTCTCCACATCAACGTATTAGGTCAGATAGAACTGAGCTTTAGAAGCAAATCCCCCAGTAGTTCCCACTTACCATGCTTTGTCTTGTGTTGCAGAGTGGACTCGGAGTACGTGAGTTCAATTCCTTTTGGGTAACACTTAACCAGAAAAGTGCTGCAGTGCTAAGGGGCATTCAGTCCTTAAGACCTTAAGTCCTTAAGACCAGACTAGAACTAAACCAAGATTAACACCCCTCCCGACCCAAGCAAGTATAGTGTGGGTATTGTGTAGCTAGTACAAGAGGGTTTGTGTATAGATTAACTCCTCTTGTGCTGTACTACTTGCTGTTGTCCACACAGCTATTACCTTTTCCCCAATTGATCAGGTCAGAACTGACAAGCAATGGCACATCAATGTTACATCTCAGAATGCAACAAAGTCTTGACACGCTCTCTGTTCTTTGATTACTAGTCTTTAATCTTAGTGTGTCTGGTTGCTGCTGAGTTTTAAACAAAACAGTTTGAGGGCTGTGGTTTTTCTTTTTTTTTCCTTCAAGTGCTTTTTAGGTCAATGCTGTGTTTGTTTTGTTGATGCCATTTTTAGGGTTTATTTTCTGTGCTGAAGTCATGCTTTCTGTAGTTTTGTCAGAGCTTGTTGTCAGATTGGGAAGCTTTTTCAAGAGGGTTCTCAATTACAGTTATTGCAGTATGAACCGTTCAGTCTTACGTAGCTTTGTCACAGATATTCTTTGTAGACTGATTTCCTTTCCAGGTATGGCACTGCACATTTAAACAGTGTACACAGAAACCAGTACAACTTAATGTTTTTTTTATTCAACTCCTATTCAGGAAGCTTTAGGACATATCTCATTTGGATTTTTCTTTCTCTTGTCCATATGCTATTGAAAATGCTCAGACAATTACGTTTCTAGAAACTTGTTCAGACTTCATGACAGAAATACTTCTATACTGTATCTGTTTCTTAAGAGAATTTGAAGCTGAGGTGCACACTAGTTCTTTCTTCAGAAATTTTGAATTCTCTCTTCCCTTTTGGGAATGAAAGGATTAGTGGATGTTTATTAAGAATTATCTTTTATCCTCATTTCTGCTCTGACTACCTTTCTGAAAGGTAAGAACCGTCTTACCTAGTCTATATGCATTAGATAGTAGCCAGTTTATTGAGAGCAACTCACTGAAAGAAATTATGCAGTTTGGAGTGACAAGCTGAAGTTGTTTTTTTTTTTTTTTTTTTTTTTTTTCTTTTCTCTTCTAATAGCAGAAAAGGAATTGAGGCTGTCTGTTCGCATTAATAACACCATATTTCTGAATCCTCTTTGAATTTTAGCTAGAATAGACCAAGCATAAGCAGTTTATCTTTTTTAAAATAAAACTTTAATGTGATAGACATAGCTGCTTTAGTTTTGGCAGAGATACTGATCTAATTTTGAATTTGGACTTATGATTATATGGCTTAAATTTACAGTTTCATTTAGCATTTGTGCTATTAGTCTCTTGTGGGCTAAGAAACTTGGACTTATTTAATGCACCACTTTGTCTGGAAGCTCATTTCATTGAGTTTATTCAATACTTGGTAGATGCGTTGCATTCACTTTGGGTAATATTCTCCAGTCATAACTCAGATTGCTGCTAGACATGATTGATCTCAATTTCCCAGACAATGTATTTTTTTTTAAGGGCTATGAAATACGTCTTTGAATTTCATATTGAATTAAAGCTTTACCCTTTGTGCTTAGTGCATCATTCTACAAATGGGCATAATGAGGATATCTTCATGGGGAAAGCAGAAATTGATAAATTTTTCTTCATGAAGAAATTCTTATTACAGAATTTGCAGAACTAAAGAAAATTATTTATATTGTATATTTATATTATGTATATTTAAGTACAAAACTCCTTCATTTAAAAATAATTGTTTAGTTCTAAAATAATTCAGAGCACCAGTAGAAAAATAATAGTCTGAAGTGGAATTTAGTGGCCAGCTTGCCAATTGATTTCACTGAATCTCAGTAAGAGTTTGAATTTAGTCTTCAGGAGCAAGCAGTGGAGGCTAGCACAATAAGTATTCTCATTCAGTATCTTCCAACCAGTAATTTTTACTAACCAAGGGTACCTGATTAAATCTTCCTGCCAGTTACTAGTTTTTGGCATAAATACTGCCTTTTAACTAATTATATAATGTCAGCCGTATTTCTAATAAAATGCTGTCTGTGCTATATTAAACATGCCTTCTCTGTATTGCGAGGCATTTAGCGTGTCTCCAGATGCTGCTTAAATAATGAGACATGATTGGCAAGAAAGTGCCAGTTCTTGTTTCCATTGATTTGAACATAACCTTCACTGGGAAAACTCTCTCAGGATCATGGAGATCAGTTCTCAGGACTTTTGACCACTAAGAGATACTTAAGGTTAGCGCACAATCTGTCTGTAATTTTGGGGTCCATCTTCAGTGAGGTAATTTTGGTCAATATAGTCTGCATTTAAAAAAACAAAACAAAACAAAAACAAACAAAAAAAACCCACAAACCTTTACAGCCCTTCAGAAAGTCATAGCTATATGCTTTATTCTGGAATTGAGAAGAATGGAAAAAATGATTAGTTGTGTTCCTGAAATGGTGCCTTTAAAATTTCTAATACACTTATCCTTGTGTGCCCATCATGTAGCTTTTCGGATCCTAGAAAAGTTCTTAATGGTCAGAGATTTCTCTTTTGTTAAAGCCCACTAATCTTTCAAACTCAGTATACCTGTAAGTTGATTTTTTTTCATTTCAGTTCTCAGAATTTTTATTTCTGGTGTTTTATAACCTTTCTATTGTGCCAATCTGTTCCATGGGTAGAAAAGTACTTTAACACTGTGTTGCATGTTTTCCTTGGGAGAGAGCCAGATCAGTATGTGACCAAAATACAGAAGGCTGTGATGATAAAATGTGCATTAAAAAGATGACAAGTTGTTTGAAGTAACCTTAAGAAATAGATCCTCTGGTTTCAATAGCTCAACATTTTTTGTGTAGTGATTTTATTATATCTAATTGCAATGGTGAATTATGACCACTAGTCTGTGCTAATGTGCAGTTAATGAGAGGTTTAGTGGCTTTCTGAAAAGGAGGAGATGGAACATTCCACATGGTGAATGAACTAGCAGGAAACATCTTTAAGTTGTTTGCTACTGAATTTCAACTTATTCTGACTTAATCAGCTGTTATCTTGCAAAATTGTTAAAAAGTGCTTTTGGAAAGCTCACAAGGAACTATTTTTTGGAACTGAACCATGTGCATTGCTATTCTCTTTTGCTTACTCAACCATCAGGTGCCTGTGTATTGGAATGAGGGGCATATTCCTAATCATATACCATGGTTTCAATCACTCACCTAAAATGAGAGCATGTCCAAAATATTATAAATATGTTACAACACGTGTTTTGGAAGCTAGCTCTGAGAATTGATTCTGGGGTCTGGGCTGGCCTTGCCGAGAGTGCACATTTGTCCTCAAGACCAGCCAAGAATTCCACTATTGAGTCTTGCAGGATTGTTTTACTAAAAGGTCTGCTGGGAGTTACTACTTTTAATTTTCACTGAGACAGCCTCATTATCCAGAATGTTAGGTTGGCAGCTCAGCCTTTTTGTAGTTCTCTGCAGTTGCTCTTCAAAGGCTGGAGAGGATCATCTCACTAGTTTTGTATGTGGATAACTGACAAGAGTCCAGTTGACAGGAGTCTAGTCAACATGATAAATATTTTGATTTCTTCGATGTGGTTCTTCAAAAACTGGATATGAGCGTAAATGCCTGGAATCTTGTTCTGTTGCTTCCATTGCGGTTATGAGCCTTGTTGGTGAGTTCTTGTCCTGAACAGGCTTCCAGGTGGAGAGCTGCTTAGCAGTTGGGGGAAGGGTGGCATACACCTTTGTGCGGAACTACACTACTTTGGCTTGAAATGCAGACTTTTAGCAGTAGTCTCTGAGCGGAGACAGGTCTTGCATCTGTAAATGACAGTTTTGATGAGATCACCCATTGTGTCAGGACCCATCATGCTCTTTCAGCCAATTTGTTTAGAGAGATCATTACAGTTGCCTTTCAAACAGCTTTTAGCCCACACCACTGATCTCATTGGGGCATCTGCTTTCTAGAATTCAGGGCTGTGGTGAAAGCGTGCCAGGTGTTACCTTCTTGGAAGTGTTTCCTTTTCTCCACATTCTCACACTTTTATGGTTGAGGCTATCCTTCTTCAAATTAAGGTTTTCCTCGTAATGTTCATGCTTTTCAGGCAGTCCTTGGGACTGTTCACGTGGTAGCTGACGTGCAGAACAGTAGTTATCTTCATGCAGAGGCTGTTCAAGTAATGTGTTGAACAGGACAAGGACTCTTTCACTACTAAATAATGCTGTTAGAGCTCATGTGAATTCAGTGGTTGAGAAATGTCTGTTCCTGACATATGCCAACTGGCCTTTCCATGTGGATGAAGAAAGAGTTCCGTGCCTCTTTTTTGATAGATCTACCTGTGTAACTCACAGCCAGTAGTATATTTGTGAAGCTATTGCTTGGCGTCACCTGAGGTAAGCCTGGTTATGGACTGCCACTTGAAGATAAGAACTCTGACTGTAATTCTTATTTTAAGTGAGGAAATAAGGAAAGAATTTCTGAGTAGCTAAATAGCAGCGTGTTTTCTGAATGTAGCTGAACACTGACTGTGCTTGCTAAATAAGGAAGTGCAGCAACCTCTGTTTTTAAATCTTGGCTCACAACTTGCTGTTAGTGTAATTAATCTTTTTGTGCTATTTCAGCTTTTCCAAAAGCAAAGCATTTGTGAAATATCTAGTGCCCGAGAGTCGTATGAGACTCCTAATATTTTGGTGCCAACTTCCTGCATGGTAGTAGTTTGAAGCAGAAGGCAGCTTTGGCAGGGATGCTGCTTTTTGCACGCAGGTAGACAAGGGGTTGTGATAGAAGGTGACCAGGCCTTTTTTTCCTTTGTTTTTTTTCTTGCCAACTTCCCCTTCTTCAGTGAAAGTAATGTGAACCTCCTGAATATGTTGGGTGCTTTGTCTTTCATAACTGTTACGTTATAAGCAATGGGAAGCACATCTTAGTGCATGCAGTCTGGCTTCTCTTTTTCTGAGCTGTAGTTGTGCCACAAGCATCTGTTTAAATTTTCTCATCTTTACCAGCTGTCACTTTAGCTTGTACCAAACTGCCATTTACAACTGATGACCTTAAGACAAAGCCAGGAAGTTGTAGCAAAGAGAAAATAAACGTTTTTCCTGTTACGTCCTTTTGAAATGCTTGAAAACTTTAGCTAAACAGATGCCCTCTGCAGGTTCCTTTGTTTTATTGATGTTGATTTTAAACATACTCGGTATGATCCAGCACTTGGTACTGTCTTTTAGACAGCGTTATCTAATGACGTGAGGAATTTGATCACCACCTATAGTTTGCACTTGCTCTTTCTCTCCTAAAGTCAGATTTTTTTTTTTTTTTAATGAAGGACTTATATTAATTAAATCCTGTTTGGGCTCACTTTAATTTTGTGCAATCTGAGTATGTTAGGAGTTAGACTCGATTCTGTTAAGTTTCGGCCCTATCACGCTTGCTTATACCAACCCCAAACAATCTAGAAAGTGATTTGCAGCTAACTACAGTGCTTGATAACTCAGGTACTTTATTCGCTTCTAAGCTGCTATAATTTCGTACTTTTTTTGAGTGGTTTTCATAGAGTAAAACGTGTGTGTAATGCACATGAATGACGTCTTTTTATGAAGACGAGGATCTGATTTGTATGGATTGTTTTCATATTTATATAAATGATTTTCTGAAAAGTATCTCTGTATCTCATGAAGTAAGCATTTTATACAGTATTAGACTGCCTTATGTCCTGGTAAGCCTAAAAAGTAGGTGGTGAATGGTGTTAATGACTAAGACTAGTACTCACTGAAGTGGTATGGTTCAAACAGTGTATTGATCAAATCTTGGTGGCTCTAATCTAGATGTGACCTATTTTTTGTTCAAGAAAAGAAATATTTGTTTCTTTTGTTTGCTGAAGTTGAGTCTTAAACTAATCTAGATTCCCTGCATAGTCTGTTATACTGACTGTCTTTTACCTTTTCAGGGGAAAAATTTTTCACTTTGTTATTTCATTTAAATAAATGCCTTTATCTTAGCAAAGAGAAAGTTGGTATAATATAGCCGTAACATTAAATACAATTTTTTTGACGTAGAATAATTTTCAGGGAAGTTTTTTCAATATGATCTCTCAAAGTCTTAATTAGGTAATCCTTTTTGCTTTGTGCTGTTTTAACATAAACAAAATTCACAGCTGCTGTTGGAACCAATGAGAAATTAGCGTAGTATGAATATTTGCAAACAGCAAAAGCTACTGAAGTATTTCACGCACTTAGGGTTCTACAGATTAAGACTGTATTGAATTTCAACTTTTACTTAGCTCTTGCGTGTTTATTGTTATAACTCGCATAGTGTCAGTTTTTGGCAGAGCCAGTTGGATCCTTGCCTTAAATACAAGAGAGTATCTTTCTTCCTTTTGGCAGTACCTGCCTCCGTTGAGTATTGCCAGAAATCAGGTACTCTAATTAGGCCTTGTTATGGGTCATGTAATAGAGCTTTCTCTGCTTAATTCCCTAGGTCAGGTTTAAAAATAAAAACAAACTGCTATTTGATCTTCTAGAAGCATATTGTTTGCCAAGCCAGCTCACTTGTGGGTCTTGAATCCAAAATGTTCGACATCAGAAACTAGACTAGGTCCTTCTACACTATTAATTACTGAAAGTAACTTCTGTGAAATGAACAAGTTTGGAGGAAGCTGACAAAGTGCCTTCTAAATAAAAGTGGTAACACACTGAAGAGTTGATTTATTCTAAAAAGCTTGTGTTTCTTACTGCTCTCAATTTTTTTCCAGAATTGGTAGGAAATAACTAGTTATTCTTCCACTTCAGCACTTGCCTGATAAGTATTTTCAGTACAAGGATTGTAGAGAGAACCCTTTTTTCATTTATTTGCATTTTTTATGCTGTAACCTTTCTGCATGCATGCTCAGCAATATATTTCAATATATTCTTGTTGAAATTTTGATTGCCTTATATATAGAATCTTGTCAATAATCTTTGATGCTTTGGATTTTTTAAGATCAAAGGACATGCCTGGTTAAGGCAGTGTAGTTGAGTATGAAGTTAGAGAAACACTGTATGGTTTTAATCCACTCAGCTATACGATTCTTCTTTTCTAATTCAGACTGTATGTCCAAACTATTGGTTAGGCAAAAATGACTACCATTTTAGCTTCTAATAGTTAAATCGTCTCTCTAGCCAGTGGCTCTTGACAGAAACTATATTCTGCCGGAATGACGCGAATGCACATATACATAGGCACATGAAAGGACAAATCATGGGGTTTTACTTACCTTAAAAGATAGGGTTAGCTTAATGGTTACTGGCCACATGATAAGGCATTGACATGCTGATAACTTAAATTCCTTTTTCTTCTAAACACAAGTGGAAAATAGTATACAGAGTCCGTGACTACATCAGGGAAGTTGCTTTTGTTCAGTATTTTTCTTTTGCTAGCTCTTTGCACTCTTTTCTGATTGTAGCTTTTACTCATGTATTTGGGAGCTTGAGCAGAACTTGTCATGCTGTTTGGATTTGAGAGTGATAGGGGAAGGCTGTTTCTCACTATGCAAAACTAGTAAAAATGGTGCCCCGTTTTTGTATGCCCAACTTCCAAGTATAATAATTTTTAACTTGGAAGTCTATGCTTTTGCTGAGCTTAAATTGATTTTAAAATGGCTTCTCTTAAATGTTTGGATTTTTGTGTGTGTGCTTTCTTTTCAGGTTTTTAGCAGAATACCATGATGATTTCTTTCCAGAATCTGCTTACGTAGCTGCATGTGAAGCCTACTACAGTACTAAAAATCCTCGGGCAATCTACTGAAGCTCTGAATGATGATTCAATCCCCCTATACATAGCCCATGACAATACTGTCTTGCCACGTGGCTACGAGATGAAGATGAAAAAGGGATTAAAACAACACTTGGAGCTGAGGAGATAGGGGGATCTTCTGTGGTGACTGGATTACTTAAAAAGGAGTGGAGAACTTCTTTTCAGAGATGTCTATAGACTGCATTCTGAATTGCTTAGAGAATTAAATACAACTTCAGCTCCGGATGAATGAAGAAGCCTTGTTCTGACTTCTAATGCATAGGACTGCATAGAACTATTACAGGAAGGGAGGCAAAAGCAGATGCATCTGCAACCAGACGTTTTCATGAACATAGTACCTCATGCTTTCATTTGAGCTTGACCTCTCTAGCCTGAAAAATAAGACCAACTCCACAGTTACAAGAAGAGAATGCATAACTGGCATCTCATGGATTTTGTTTCCCACAAATTGCACTTCATTTTGTGAAACTGCCATGATGGAAAAGATAGTTTAATGTAAAAGATTTTTTTGGCTGTTTGGCTAGCATGACATCTGCCTCAAGAATGGCTTTGTTGTTTGAATGAAAGATGTGTTGCTTGCTTTGTGTTTTGCAAAGATGTCTATAGCTCTTTTGATGATAAGGCTGTGTCATAGTTCCAAGAAGAGCGTACCTTGCCAGTGATCCAGTGTTACGTGGCTGAAAATGATTTCCAGAGCTGCTATTAAAGAACAGATTTCTACAAGTAAGTAGAGTCAATAAAGTGATGGCAGTTTAACTGGCAAATATTTCTTTTCTTAATAAAGTACACAGTGGCTGCTGTTGAAATATGTAATTTTGGCTGTCTAAAATGTTTGTTCTTGATTAATATTTTGAAGAGTGATTGCTAAGTGTGCATAGAATGAGAGGCAGGAACAGTGATAACATAGGGAGGGAAGTCCTTGCTGTATTATTGGATCTTCTTCTACAGACTTAAAGAACATCTCCTTAGATCTTTTTAGACACTTGAGCTCTGGAGATAAGAATTTACCCAGAACTGAATTCATAGCATTTTGACAATACATTCAGTAGTAAAAATTAATTGAAGTTAATTAGTCTTGAATGTCATCAAAGCCTCGCCACTAATTCGGAACTCTGCTTCACAATTCTGTTACGTAAAGATAGACATGGAGATTTTAAACAGTGGGCAGAGAACTGGACTCAAGGCTGTAAATCATAGGCTAGTGCATTTAATCGCTCTAATCCTTTCTGATTTGGAAAACCTCAATTAGAATACTTACCTATAATGCAGAACTGAAAACATTCCTCCCAGAGATTAGCAGAGTCTAGGAGCTGCGATGAATCGTCTTTCAAAAGTAAATGACAAACTTTAGTCTATAAAGCCAAAGCAAATCTGAAATTTACTGTTGGCAGTCAATGACACTCTTCAGAGCATGCTGGTATGTCAAAGCTTTTGAACTGGAAAGATATAGATTACCTTGATTTTGGTAACGGTTGTAGAATGAATCTTTCACATGGAGCCAAGCAGATTTGGTGATCCTTATTTCTAAAGTTTCTCATTTAGCGATACTACTTTTTAAATTGTATTTGTGTAATACCAAAAAATTTCATGGGCTTTAGCCTTTCCCAAGTTACAGGAGTTTTGAATCTCAGCAGAATCTGGACACCACAAAATCCACTTTGAGAGTGTGTTTCATTTCTAGCTTTGGGCCCTAGTCTTTAAGACAGAACAAAACAGAAAACAAAAAACCAAGTCAATTGAAATTCTAATTACTGTCTGGTAGGAAATTGACCCTGGAATACTGCTTGAAACTGCATCCTTAATCCTTTCTGTTGCAGGAATGTTGCAATGTGTGTAATATGTTGAATCTTTTGTTCCACTGTTGCTATCTGTGAATACAAGGCAAGTTATGAGCAGAGTTTAAACCTTATTGTGTGACTGTGTTTAACTCTATAAAAAATGACAGTTTCTGCATGCCTTTTGTTATTAATGCTCTATTTTTGGTTAATAGGTTATGATGATTCTCATGACAGTTTAAAATCTGAAGGTGCAGTTAGTGTCACTGTACTCTTGATGTAAACTTCTTTTATTTTTAAAAGGAAAAAAAAACCTCGAAGCCACCTGTGGATTAACTATTACAAACTGTCTTGCTCTCATAACAGCCAAGAAAAGTAGCAGTCTTTTGCACTTCTTTACTGTAATTGAATATTTAAACCTAAAACTTGTTTCTAAATTCAAAGGGATACTATCCTGGGAAGCCTTGTCAATTAAAAATGTGTGAGAAATAATGTGCATCCTTGACTTTCCTCTTCCTTGCTGTCACTATTCTTTTACTACTTTCTTATTTTAAACCTAACTTTATTCTAAGCTGAAGTAGTGCAAAAGAATTGCAAAAGCTTTAACCAGGTGGGGGAGGAGGGGCTTTTGAGTAGCCTTAACAAAGTTGTGTAGCCAAACAAAGTAGCTTGTCAGTTTAGTCCCTAAAGGTTTGTAATTATCAAAACTTTTGAATGGAGTATCCAAAGGTTCATCTGGATAGGAGAAGCTTAATAATGTACTTAAACTGCAGGTGTACTACTTTAGCTTGAATGTCCTGGACTGATGAGACTTCTTGATGGGATTCCTGTCCATCTGGACCGATGAAAGGTTTCTCCACTTAACTATTTGCAATGAATTGGTCCCTGTTTGTAGAGCTACTCCATCAGTGCTTCCTAACCTGATTCAGTCAGAATGACTCAGATTAGCTGAAGAAGTTTGAAAAACTGACTTAAGCAGGCTAGGGAGTGTTCACATGAGCAAGTTTGCCAGAGGACTTCAGAGATGGTGTGTTGCAGAGGAGGAGCTGAGCTGAGAAAGCAGTTTGGACGGACAGTAATGTTTTACACTGGCGTGGCTGTTCTGCATAACTCACATGCACTCTTGTTCCAGATCTAAGGTTTTTTTGTTTGTACATTTAAAGAAATTATACTAGTATCATTATAGCGTGTTACTAAAGATGGTAAATCTGTTCTCTACGGGCACTTCCCTTCAGAAGTAGGTACTTAACAGGCTAAAAGGCAGTTCAGCTGCTTCAACCTAAAGTGTGGTGTAGTATCCTGAAGGAGGCTAGCTGACCTTTTGTGGGAGGATCGTCACAGTATAGGGGTAAAAGCAGGTAATACAGCTAATGTGATGACGAGGAGTGCACCACTGCCTAGGTGCCAGAGATAAATCAGTCTACATGGATACTACTCATTCCAGTACTTATTCTAACCTAATTGGTATTAGGTAGGATAGCTGAGTAATATCACGATGTGCCACAAAATTATGAAATGGACTCTCTGAAGTGTTCTCAGATTACCAAAAACCATAAACAACACAAAATAACTTTTAATACTGTTCGGCTTTATTCCTAATTTTAGGCTTTAGTTTTAAGCCTATTATATGTCACAAAAAAATTATGCTGTTCTTTCATGTGCACCATCTGGAGTTAATGCATTGTATTTCATTTTCGTACTGTGTTATTATGTTTTTCAAGCTCCATTGAATAGTTAGTTCTGTTCCAAAGCTCAGGCTTCCACATACTAAGATGACCATTGCAGTAGTAACCAAGTGGTACTTTAAATATGGTCACGTCTCATTCTGAAAGAAATGCAATGCAAGTTATAGGCAAATGTTGGATTTCATTTTGCAGTTGGTGTGAGCTAGCAGCATTTATATGATAAGCTGTCATAACTGAACTGTTCAGTGTGAATTTCTCAAATAGTAATGCACAATGACCTTTGAATTATGTTAGAGGAATGTCTTCAGTCAAAAGAGGAAATAAAAGGCTTATCGGAAATAAAAAGCTGTTAACGGTTTTTAATGTTTGTATCATAAAGTTTTATCAAGACATTTGAGAAATACATTGTGAGATTATTTATTGGAATTAAAAATAACATTAAACCCTTAATTTCTTGGAAGTTATCCATTGCCCCACTGATGTCTTAAGCGTCCCCCAAATGTATGTGTACTGAGGTGGAATTACAAGCCTTCTGGGGAGGATAAAAGCGCACAACATGAGCGCTTTACCTGAGTCCCAGATCAAACTTTTATCTTGCTAGTAAGCTGTGCAAAAGCACAGCAGTGGCAGCTCTTGGACAGACAGCCAGATCTTCCGGCCTGGTGCATGTCACTTTTAACTTCTTGACCAACTAATGGAGCTAATACAGCAAGCATTCAGTTCACACTGTGTAAAGTCTACTTACTAAGTTCTAGAGAAAATGCTGGATAGGAATCACAATGTAAGCATGCTTAGGCCAGGTGCATGAAGAAATATATTTTGTGCTGTGTTCCGGCGCACTGTAGTGTCTCCTTGGTGATATGAGGGGATTGAATTTAACTGCATTGACAAACCAAGTTATCTATTTGCTTTTCTGAGTAAATACATACCACAGCATTTGTGTATTTTCTTCAGGTATTGGTCTGTAATCAGCACAATCTTGATGATTTTACATGATCAGTTTTTTCACTTGTTTATGAAACAATAGATTTGGAGGGATCTGCAGCTCTTTGCATAACTGCCTCATTTTTCTGTATGAAATTAGTAAATATAGGTACTATGCCTCTACAGTCACAGGTATTCATGCTGCTTTTCTGCCACAATTTGTTTTTCTTAAGTTTGAAATACATATTGCCATGGGGAAAATGGTGTCAGCAATGACAGTGAGAGATGCAGATGCTTACTAAGATCTAGCTCAACGTTACCGCCCTATTACATGCATTATGTATTTTTTTCTTCTCATTCATATAGCAGCTTTTTAAATATTTTTGTTTATTTTTTATTAGGGCTAAGCATTATGGCAAGCTGAATAAAATCAGTCAAGCATATAAACCTGTGCTCTACAGTGACAAGGAAACGTATGCAAGAACTTTTGTACTTTTTTGGCCTGGAAACAATGTTCATATTGCCTTTCCTGCATCTTGATTGAGAGCAGTCAGTCACATCATACGTAAAGTGGATGATATCTTTATAAAGGAAATGAACAAATTTGTGAGATGCAGACTGATAACTCCTGGCACCAGTGCAAACTTTTAAAAGCGTCTCCTAAGGAATGGAGTAGTTTCTCATTTTGTTACTGGAAATGACCAGAGGTTTTGATTGCAAGTAACTTTTATCAGTACAAGATATTGGATCTACTAGGGAAGACTAAGGTATTAAAGTGTTGAATCATACGATATGTTCATGTGGATGTTTCGGTGTGATGCCAGAAAACAGTGTGTTTAATATTTATATAGCAAGAATTGAACCAATAAACATGCTCAGTTCCTGGCAAAATGAACAGTAGACTTTTCCATCACATCAGTACATACTATCTGTGCCTGTAATATTTGCGAATATTGAGCCGTGGTTCAATTTACTCATCTGTTGCTAGCCTTTATTTATAGACTAATAATTAGATTATTAATTAAATTATTATTCTTCAAGCACCTTAAAATAAAGGTGTCTCTTAAGCTTTCTTACTTTGCCTGTAGTTTCTCTGAAGCAGTCTAGAAAATTAGAAAAACAGTGCTTCTAAGAGTCACAGAGAGGGAGGGAAATGATTCTGACTCAGATTAACAAGTTGCAAATACTTTTTTTTTTTTTTTCAAAAGTATTTAGGTATTTCTGATTCATTTGGAAATCTAATCATTAAAGTGTGTGTAAAATGTAGTTAGGATTTATTTTAAGCTCAAAAGCAGAGCCAAAGTTAGCCAAATACATTGCATGGTGCAAATATGTAGCCAAGTTAAAGGATAGTTCAAGTGTGCCTGAAAGTAGCTTTACTGTATGTGTTTGTAAGCTTTCTGCTTTAGATATGGCTCTCTGACTTGTTTTGGTCACTTGATGCCAAAAGCATTGTAAATTAAAGTATAAAAATGATTAAATGTCTGTATAAACAAAATATTAAATTTTAGCCTCAAATTTAATGTAAAAATATGAAATGCTACCATCCCGTATTAATAATAGAGGCACTCTGCCCTTCTTTTTACAGCAGTTTCTTAGAAATACAGCGTAGGACAAATCTGCTGCCACATGGCTGACCTGGTGAAAGCATCCATCTCAATGGTAGTTACACAGGTAATCTGTAGTAGCTCTTGGCAAAGTGTCTTTAACCTGAGCGGAACATGCTCGTTGTGTTCTGCTCATGGGTGAAGAGCATCAGTCAGCAGGCTACTGAGACCCCTCATATGGAGCAAATACAAACAAGGTGCATCTTATACTTGTTTTTTAATTATAGCAGAACTAATAATGCTTTCACAGTTGATAATTTAGTAAGAATTTTCACTGCTTACCACCTTTGGCTTTGTAGGCTGCTGACTTAAGAAAATGTTAGTTCTATTGTGTTTAGGTTTCACGTGCACGGCTGCGTAGGAGGTAGATTTTACTAATTATTTTTATTCAGATTACTGAGGAATTCATTTTCTCTCTGCTGTGAGTGACTAGTGCAGTGATATAACTTCTCTCGCATCAGCGATTTGTACTTTAAAAAAAAATCATTTATTAAAAGCGGTATGAGTAGTAACTAAATAGACTTTTTGTAAAGATTTTGCTTACTGGCAGATGGATGGTATGACACATGTAATATATATGTGCAGTATTGCCAACTGTAGGCATTAGAAATCATGAGTCAGACTCCTAAAAGTCTTAAGAGTGATTAAGGAAACATGAAGATTAACTCCTGTTTTTTGAGCCCTAGTGAGTCAAGCTTGCAACAAGAATTGCTGCAGACTTTAGAAAGGAAAGCTGAGCTTTTTGGCTAATCAATGTCTTTTAGAGTTGAGGCTTTAGGAGAATGCGCAAAACCTTGCAAGACTGGCAATGAAATGATGATTTGGCAAAGCTTTAATAGAGCAGGATGCCATTAATCTGAAAATAATCAGTGACTGAATTTGTGAACATCTGTGAGAACACAACACAAGCCTCAGATAGGAAGGTTTTCTGGCTAGGTTGGTTATATCTGCTAATCTACAAAACAGTACGTCTTTGCCAAAGGCCTGAATCTAAGCTTGTAGATTTATTTTTCTTTTTTTTTACTTGTTTGGAAAGGCTATTAATAAGTGAGGGAGATGAACTGTTTACCATAGTAACAGAATTACCCCGTGCATGGTGATGAATTTGATGAAATCATGCAGCTGAAGAAAACAGGAAGCATGACGAGAATTCTGCAGTTTCTACGGTGTGTGCGCAAGAGTATTGTGTTATTGTTTATATTGTAATAAACGCTTGCTGAGTTATGTCTTGCTCTGGTTGCAACAAAAGTGTATTGTTGCTGTTACCTTAGGTCCAGCTCTGCCAAAGAGCATAGGTATCTAAAGGGTCATCTGGGTGGAAGTCAGATATGAGTAAGCGCAAGGGAGCAATCCACAAATCCTGTCTCATTTCAAATCTCATTCAAATCAAAATAAGAGCCTCACTTTTCAGGTGCAGTTACTTACAAAGCTAAACTGAGCCTTTTAGCACCTATTTCAGGTTAACAAGACTATTTAGGATATACAGATTGAATATCTCTGCACTTGTATCTGCAGGAGGACTCAGTGTGAAGACTTGGTTGAAATGTGTTCTGAAAAATGAATGCAACCTGTGTTATAGCACAAATAGCCACTTTCATTAAAGTTGGGAGGAAGAGCG